GAGGTGACTTTGGGTTAGAAGGCCCATGCTGATGTCCTGGGATCCACCTATGTCCTAGGGAGAGCTGCCCCGCCTCACGTCCCTGACTTAGTGGTATCTGCATCTTGGCCCGGGGTGACTTTTGGGACCTCGTGCACGCTCCCTCCAGACCTGAGCCTGGAGGACTCCCGCTTCTAATTTGGCAGCCAAGGCCCAACACCAGCCCCACCTTCCTCCAAGCATGGGCCACTCCCTCTCGGATCTGTGCTTGGCCTGCCCTAGGAGATACCAGCCCTGTTGAGTCCAGTTCCCCTCGGGTTTCCCTGATACCAAGTGGCCAGGAATCCACCCAGGTCGTCAATCTCAGGACCCTACCTTATCTAAAGCCGGCCGGAGAGAGAGAAATCTGAAGGGCTCAGCCTAGCCGAGACCGTTTCACCTATTCTCAGGCACAGGAGGGCTGGAGTCCTCTTTGGGGGGCCCAAACCCTCTCTTGGAGTGGACTCACCTGCACTCTGCAACCACCCTGTGTGAGCAGCCACTGCAGGCAGGAGAGGTAGCCTGTGGCAGCGGCGTCGTGGGCCGGTGTGGCGCCGTTGCGCGCGCGGGCCCTGGCCGGGAGGGCAGCCTGCTCCACCAGGTAGCGTAGACAGTGAAGTTTGCCAGATCGGGCCGCATGGTGCACCGGCAGGGCATCTAGCGGGTCGCGCAGAGAAGGCCCCAGCAGGCCAGCGGCGTGCAGGGACTTCAGCACGTCCAGGTCGCCCCGCCGTGCCGCTTGCAGCGCCTGCTCCAGGGCCATGGTGCAGCCCTCGGCGCCGCGACCCGGCGATCAGTGGGTTCCCCGGGACGTCATGCGGGTGGCTTTAGGTTTCAGGAGTAGGCCCGCGACGCAGACGTCGGAGGACAGTGAACCCCAGAGTCAGAGCGGCTGCCCGCCGCCCCGGCTCTACGATCCCTCCGCAGCGTTCTGGGGCGGGGACCCCGAGAGAGCCCCGCTTAAGCCTGGGACCCGCCCTCGCCACGCCTCCTCTCTGTCCCGCCTCCCCGGCCCTGAGCCTTCCCCTGTCCCTGGAGGTTGTCAAGGGCTGGTGCACACAGAAGTTCATTTTCTGATTTGCCGCACATAAAAATCGAGTAGGATTCTAATGCCATCCAGACACGGATCCGTTCATTCGGCTGCCCAGTGGCCATTATGTGCTGTTTCAGGTGCTGGGGACGCAAGCCAGCAACCGATGGCAGTTAAAAGGAGCTACAAGTGTCACTAGAACCTGGCAAGAGGGAGATAGGAAATAGTTTGTCATGGGCATCAAAATTTGCCTGGTGCTGGGACTGGTTGGCAAGAAGGGGCATTCAAAGCCAGGGAACTGGACGCCACTGCCCAGAAACTTAAAGGTCCCATTAAGTACAGAATGCGGAGTACCCCATGTTCAGGATGCCAAGGTCCCTCTAGAGTCTAGAACCAATAAAAAGAAGGGAGACAGGGAAGGCAGAAAGAGAAGAAAGAAAGAGAGAAAGAAAGGAGGGAGCCAGCAAAATGAGCATGCAAAAGTGCGTTCTGCCAAGTCTGACAACCCAAGCTCTATCCCAGCAACCCCCATGGTGGAAGGACAGAACCAACCCCTACAAGTTTTCTTCTGAACCCCACATGCACAGGCCCCCAAATAAATAAATACAATGATTGAAAAAAAGAAACAACTCCAAAACCCATAGGATCTCTCTCTCTCTCTCTCTCTCTCTCTCTCTCTCTCTCTCTCTCTCTCTCTGTCTCTCTCTCTCTCTGTCTCTCTCTCTCTCCCCTCTCTTTGGGTTTTCAAGTCAATGTTTCTCTGTGCAGCAGTCCTGGCTGCCCTGGAACTGGCTCTGCAGACCAGGCTGGCCTCGAACTCACTGAGATCAGAAATTCACCTGCCTCTGCCTCCCAAGGGCTGGGACTAAAGGCGTGCGCCACCACCGCCCAGCCAGGATCTATTTAAGTGAAAGGAAGGACAGGTGTGTCGTGGTGGAACTGCTTTAGGACAGGGCGCTGAAGATTCTGATCCCCCAGAGTGGTGTGGGATGGGAGAGTGGACCATGTGCTTGAATGCCTGGGCATGCCAAACCAACATTGAAGGATGTGAGGGATGGGGCATGGTGCGCAGATGCTCCAGGACCTTTGTCCAAAGAGACCGCATCACCATGTGAACAAGGACCCTGGGAAACGCCTGAGGGTCCAGGCAGGTAAGTACAAACCACCCTATGGGCCATGGCTGGAAACGGGTCATGGGAACTGGAGGAGGCAAAGTCTGCTGACTGGAGAAAAGCTCCCAGGACGGGGTGTGCTAGCTGTGGGAGCGCAGCAGGCATATCGGGCAACCTTGAAACAGCTTGCGCTCTTCGTCCTCTTCCCCCACGCACAGCAGAGGTCTGTCAGAACCCAGCCCATTCCCGGCCGGCCGATGTTTCAATCAGTGCCTAACTCCTACCAGCCAGGGAGATGCTGGAAATGTAGCTGGATGTTGTTTGCAGAACGCCTACTCCTAAAGTTGGTCTCCTGGGCCATCTCAGCTACCATTTCTGTTTTCACCACATGGTGGCGCCACGCACGCTGGTCGGAGCTGCCAGGTGAGCTCAAACTTTGCTGAGAGTTTCCAACCACTTGTACCTAGCTGGTGACGTCTCATTCCACCATAGGACCTGCTGTTACTGGGATCTGTAACCTCTTTCTAGAGGTTTCCGAATTCCTCACTGTGACATAGCGCTGTGCCTTCTTGGTACTTCCAGAAGCTACACACATCGGCATATCCAGACAGGAAGGAGTTCCCAACGGCCAGTAAGTGGTGGCAGGAGTATCCAAACTAAGATGGCTGGACTTGACTTCCACTCCCCTGTGGCTCCTTCGTGACAAAACTCCTGCAGTTCTTCAAGCCTGTAAGGTTGCTGCCTTGACCCTGGACACCTCACAAGGTTTTGTCATGCATTGCTCCTGTCCAGTGCTCCTGACTCATTCCCAACTCAGGCAGTGACACTTGACATGAAGCCAGGTGTCAGTACACAGCCCTGTTGACTAACTGACTCCTCAGGTTCCTTGAGGACACAGCTCGAACACAGACTGGGAGCCAGGCACTTTCAGCTGTGCCCGCCTGCCTGTCTGTCTATCCTATCTGGGCTCTTTTTTTTTTTTTTTAAGACAGGGTTCCCTGTATTGTTTCAGAGGCTGTCCTGGCACTTGCTCTGTAGACCAGGCTGGCCTCGAATTCAGAGATCCGCCTGCCTCTGCCTCTGCCTCCTGAGTGCTGGGATTAAAGGCGTGTGCCACCAACGCCTGGCTGTCCCCAGCAGTTTTAAAGAGTCCCATCAGTGGTGCCAAGCTCTCCATTCAAATTCCTAATCCTCACAGGAGAGTTTTTTAAAATTTATTTATTTATTTATTGACCTTATTTTTGTTGTTGTTGTTTGTTTGTTTTGGAGGCTGGCTTTGAACTCCTCCTGAGTCTTATCTCCTCTTTATGTTGCAGGATTACAGGCATGAGAGCCTCCACAAGTGGCTCAGAGAGGGAGTCAAGTCTCATTTTATAGCTGTGGAAACAGGCATGGGGTTTGTATTTATTTTTGTGTGTGTGTGTGTGTGCACGCGCGCGTGTTTAGTGTCAATGTACGTGGAGTGTGTGTGGCAGTCAAAGGACTATTTGCAGGAACTGGTTCTCCCCTTTCACCGTGTACACCCTGGGGATCAAGCTAGGTCATCAGGTTGGTGCCCTTACCCATGGAGTCATTTCACAGGGTTTGCTTTTGTTTGTTTGAGACAGGGTTTCTCTGTGGCTTTGGAGGGTGTCCAGGAACTAGCTCTTGTAGGCTAGGCTGGCCTCGAACTCACAAAGATCTGCCTGCCTCTGCCTCCAGAGTTCTGGGATTAAAGGTGTGCACCACCACTGCCCTGTCATAAAGTCTTTTTTCAAAAAGAGGTTTTACTTTTATTTTCAAATCTATCTATCACCAATCTGTCTACCATCTATCTATATCTACATATGTGTCTATGTGCAGATTTATGCATATGACTGCTATGTCTGAGACGTCCAGAAGAGGGCATCAGATCCCCCCAGAACTGGAGTTACAGGTAGTATGTGAGCCATCTATCGTGGGTGCTGGGAGCCAAATTGTAGTCTTGGCCATCCTGGAGCTCACTCTGTATACCGGGCTGGCTTCGAACTCACAGAGAGCCGCCTGCCACCACTGCCTGGCCCTCTTTGAGCTTTTTTTTTAAAAGATGTATTTATTTATTATGCATACAGTGTTCTACCTACATGCCAGAAGAGGGCACCAGACTGAATAGATGGTTGTGAGTCACCATGTGGTTGCTGGGAATTGAACTCAGGACCCCAGGAAGAGCAGTCAGTACTCTTAACCTCTGAGCCATCTCTCCAGCCCTCTTTGAGCTTTTAAAGAATAATTTTTAAAAACATTTATTTATTATGTATACAGTGTTCTGTCTGCAGGTGTGCCTGCAGGCCTGAAGAGGGCACCAGATCTCATTACAGATGGCTGGGAGCCACCATGTGGTTGCTGGGAATTGAACTCAGGACCTCTGGAAGAGTAGGCGGTGTTCTTAACCTAGGAGCTTGCACAGAGTAACTTCTTGGTGGTGGTCGTGGGTCCTTGTATGCCATAGACAGAAATAGAAGGGAATGGGGTTCAAAGGCAGGAACGAGGGGTCCTTCCAGTACCTTGGACAGAGTCTACCCTGGCTCCGCCCCACGAGCGCCTCCTATTGGCTCTGGTTGTGCGGGCCTGGCTTTCGGGCCCTGAGACTGCCCCAAAGTAGCAACAGGGTCGGAGGAGGCGGCCGTTGCCCCGACAGCCCAGCGGACCCAGGGAGGGTAGCCCGCGGCAGATGGGCGGGGGACGCCTGCCAGTTTGCGGCAGCAACGGCCACGCGTTGTGGAGGCGTGTCGGGGCCCGCTGGGGCGGAGTGGAGCAGCCGGGGCACACGCCCGGGACCGCCCCTTCTCGCCTGTCATGTGACCTCCGACTGTCCCAAGGTGGAATCCAGATCCCAGAGCCCGTTGAATTGAAAATGGACTCTGGGGACCCTGAGTTGCCTCTTCCTGGGGAGTGGGGCTCAGGTCTCCTTTTCATAACCTAGGGCCGGGGAACCAGGTGGCTTTTAAGTCAGTGCCCTAAATTCTACGAAGTGCTTAGACCCCAGTCCTGGTTTTGGGCCAGGCCGGAAAAAGATTGGACCTTGGTTAGGACTGCGTCTCCACGTCCAGCTCGGGGCGGTTGGTGGAGCAACTCTGTCTTTTCAACCCTTGTTGGATCTCCCTGAACTCCGCGGCTCCGGAGCTCTGCAGCCGCTAGAGGCCTTGCCCGGTGGGCGTGAATGAAGCCACCGGAGTCAAGGCCAGGCCCCACCCATCCTTCCTGGCCAGGGGCTCAGCGCCCGCACGTCGCGCGACCCCACCACAGATGGGACTTTGAGGCCAGAGTGACATCTCAGGGGGACGACACTGACTCGTCCTCTCCAGCCCCACCCTGTGCTGGGACAAAGGCGGGCGGTGGGAGTGGCGGCTGGCCAGGCTCCGTGGGGCGGGGCGGAGCGGGGACACAGCCCCCTTAAAGGCCTGCAGCTAGCTGGGCGCGCACTTCTTTGGCGCGAGTTTGGGCTAGGCTTTGAACTCGGTTTCCGGCTTCGTTCTTTGCTCTGACTTGCAGCAAGATCCTCCACCCCGAGGTACCGGACCCTGCGAGCTCTTCGCTTTCCCTTGGAGCATGAGACTGCCTAGGACAGTAGGGGACGCGGCGGAGCTGCGCAAGGTAGGGACGGGAGGTAGGGACTCGTGGCAACGTGGAGTGGACGATCCTGATCCTCCTAACCGTGGCCTCTGAGCCCGTCTGCCTTCCCGCACCTCCCCGCAGACCCTGAAACCACTGCTGGAGAAGCGCCGGCGCGCACGCATCAACGAGAGCCTGAGCCAGCTAAAGGGGCTGGTATTGCCGTTGCTGGGCGCGGAGGTGAGTGTCTGGGAGAGGAAAACCGATGTGGAGAGTCCTGGGGCACCCATGGTGCAGGTGGGCTTGCGTGGTCCCGGGGCTCCGTGGGGAGCCCAAGGCCTCCTGGTGGGATCTGAACGATGGAGTGGTAGAGACCACTGCGGGACTGGCGAGCATCCTGGGTGCAAGAGCGAGGTGTCGTGTCCAGTGGCCCGGCTTGTTATGGGGTGTCTCTCTTGTCTGGCCTGGCACAGACTTCCCGCTACTCGAAGCTGGAGAAGGCGGACATCCTGGAAATGACCGTGCGCTTCCTTCAGGAGCAGCCTGTGTCCCCCTACCCCATTGCAGCGCCGGGTGAGTGACCGTGCTCCCTGCTCCTCACGTGCCGGGCAGTTTGCTCAGTGCTCAGGACCTGAGCCTCACGTTGCCCTCTGTCCACAGAACCCTGGGATAGCTACCTCGAGGGTTACAGAGCCTGTCTGGCGCGCTTGGCGCGCGTGCTGCCGGCCTGCAGCGTCCTGGAGCCCGCCGTGAGCGCGCGCCTGCTCCAGCACCTGCGGCAGAGGACTGTCAGTGGTGGCCCACCCTCCCAGACGCCACCACCCGCCCCTGCTCCAGCGCCCTCTCCGCAGGCGCCTCCTCCGGGCAGCCCTGGCCTCTGGCGGCCCTGGTAGGCTCCTGGATGTTCCTGGCCAGTGACCTGGATGGGCCAGCTGACTAAGGAAGTTCTCAGTGATGACTGCATCTCCCTCACTTTGAGAAGAACAGTGTAGCACACACACACACACCCTACCAAGAATTGGACGCCGGTGACCTATCTGGATGATGACCTCAAGGGCTGGAGGGAAAAGAGAGTTTCTGGGCAGGAGGAGGACGAGGGCCAGACTTGGGCTGGTAGACGCGCTTCTGGCACTGGGCCAGCCGAAGCTGCCACACCTGCCCTCGTGTGGGAAGCAGAGCAACCTCTGATCTTGGAGCTCACCTGCTCTGATGGGTCACCACATTCCCAGCCACACCCGGGTATACTCCCAGCTCAGCTGGGCTGGTGACCCTCTCCATAAACAGAGCAATGGCTTGGGGGACTTTGACCACTCCTCCCGAGGCTCTGTAGAGCACTGAGCAGGGCAAAGAGACACCTAGGTCTCGGCAGCCACCTCCTCCACTCCTAGGCTCCCCCTGGGAGTGATCTCTACAGCAGGGGGGGGGGCTTCTTAATTTAAGCCTCCAAGCGTTCTTTCTCCCACTCACCAGGCCCAGCGGGCTTCGGATGTAAGGAAAGTGTGGGACAAGTGTGAGGCTCCCCTGGGGCCTTACGGGGGGCTGGTGGCTTCGGAGGAACGGGACCCAGGCTCCAGCCTGGGAATGGCAGGGACCCAGGAGGCCGCAGCTGGTGCAGGAGCTCGAACCAACCTCGCCTGCTTGCCTGACTGAACCACTCCCTCCCCGAACCCAGGCAGTTGGGCTCCCAGAAACAACTTGTTGAGAAGTTATTTCTCCCAAACGGAAACCTGGAAGCCTATGATGACTCGGGGAAGGGCCAGGAGTAAGTGTAGCAGAGGAAGCAGGAGGATTTGTGAACCACGGTCACCCAGAGTCCACGGGGATTTGCTGAGCATTTTAGCACTGTTGCTTCTCCCTCTGCCTGTGCTGGGGACCAGGACACTAAAAGCCAAGGAGACAGAATGACCAGGGAAGGGAGGGTCACTTAGCTGCTCTGCCATCCATCTGTGGTGAATCTGGGTACTGATTTGGGTGGCAGGGGGTGGGGAAGATAGAGCCATCCTCAATAAAAGAAAATCAATGTGAAGACAGCAGGGGGCTCCCAGCAAGTCTGTGCTGGGCCCAGACTGTGATTCTGGCAGGCGGGGCTGGACGGGTGCATCTGTGTATACCTGAAGCACTCACACCAGTGGTGCTCAATAAACTCGGTGGACTGAAGGGTATGATGTGACTGACTCACACTGTGGTGAACCTTGGACGGCCTGGCTTTTGCTTTGACCACTGCAGTGGCTGTCACCCTAATTGCTGCGACCCTTTAATACAGCTCCTGGCGCTGTGTGGTGACCCCCAGTCATACATTATTTTCATTGCTTCTCCGTATCTGTACATTTGCTGCTGTTATGAATCGTAGATATCTGTGGTTTCTGATGGTCTTCCCCGGTGACCTCGGTGGAAGGGTCATTCAGCCCCCTAAAGGGTTGTGACCCACAGGTTGAGAACTACTGTTCTAGGGTCACCCAGATATTGGTCCCATCAGGGCACAAGTGCGACTTGTCTTCTTGTTCCTCGTGGACAGGTAGAGGCAGAGGAACAGCAGCCCCGGGCCCCAAGCTCCAATAGTCTCTGGGTTTCTCCTTGGATCTAAATGGACAGCTGTCTGTCTCCACATACAAGAATTCTCAATACTGGTTTACACACACGTTTCTGGCCATTTTTCCCTGTGGGAAAGGACAACACCAAGAAACAAAACAAAATCCCTAAGAACCTTAAAACAAGTGAGCACGGTGGTATATATACCTATAAATCCAACCCTGGGAGGAAATAAGAGTACTGAGTTCAAGGCCGGCCAGGGCTATCATAGCATGACCCGCCTCAAAAACAAAAAAAACAAAAACAAAACGCTCTCAACACTGGTATTTTATGTTCTGGAGATTCACAGTCATCTGCCTGCCTGTGCTGGGATTAAAGGCATGCGCTGCCACACCTGGTCCTCCACGCTGGTCTAAACGCTATGGAAATTGATGGACCCGAGGCCTCCTTTTAGCCATGCCCTCTGCTTCCTGCTCCTGAGCGTCTTGGTTTCTGGTTCCATGACGTGTGCTGACCTGGCCTCAAGTTATCAGGCAAGCAGGTATGGAGCGGAGTGTGTGCGGATAAACCGGTGACTCACAGGGTCAGGTGCCCTGCGGAACGGGGCCCTGGCAAGCCCGGGTGGGTGAGGCTCTCTGCCTGAGGCGAGAAGCCAGTTTCTCAGTAGAATGTGCTGGAAGACCTGGAAGCGCTGGGCTGGTGTTCCCAGCTGGGCTGGCGAAACAGGGATCCTGCGTCCTCCTCCCTCAGAAGCTGCGGTGAGCACCTCTTCCTGGCAGCTCCTTCGCTCCTGTCTGTGATGGCCTCAGGTGTGCAGGGCGTGGTTTAGCGGTGGCATCGGTGGCGTCGTTCAATAGAGGCTGCCCCTGGGAGGCACTCTCGTGTGAGTGTGAGCACTCATGGAGGTCGAGGGTCACTCCTCAGGTGCCTTCACCTTTTGTCTGAGATCTCCTACTGGAACTTTTCCAAACAGGCTGGACTAGCAAGCTGCTGGGAGCCGCCTCCTCTCTCTTCCAGCTGGCTGTGATTCTAAGTACCTGCCGTGGATGTCAGCCAAGCAGACATTTTATGACCCTCAACAAGTCCATAGCTCACCAGGAGCTTTCCAGGTGGCTGTTCTGAGGGGGCCGCGTGTTGAATCTAACCGGACGTCGAGCCAGCTGGAGAAGAGGTTCCTATTGTCTCTCATAGCCGCAGTGGCAGATTTGACCATGACTCAGGGATGCCAGGGTGCTGAGCCGCCTGGGAACCCACTGGTGTTGAGATGCACACTTCTGAGGAGACCCAGGCCTTGGACAGGGCCCCACTTGCCCCTTCTGGCCCCAGAAGTGAGAAGAGGTGGTGTCTGCCTTCCGTAAGCATGAGGGCAAAGGGCGGTTTGCTGCGGATGAAGCCTCTCCCGCAGTATTCCAGTGGCTCTGTCCCACCTGTGAGCAGGGGAGACCCCTTTGGCCTCTTTGGGACTAGCAGAATGAACACAACTTGCAGGAAACACCTTGAAGAGAATCTGTGGCCCCGTAGAACCCGGCTAAGCCTCCACAAAGTTGCCCTCTGACCCCAGCACGCAGGCCGTGGCTGCCTGAGCCCCCCATATAGTGATGATAACCACCACCACCACAACAATAATAATACTAAGAGACAAATGGTTGCCAGGCGGTAGAGGCTCACACCTTTAATCCCAGCACTCAGGAGGCAGAGGCAGACGAATCTCTGTGAGTTCGAGGCCAGCCTGGTCTACAGAGTGAGTTCCAGGACAGCCAGGGCTACACAGAGAGATGGGGGAGGGGTGGGGTGGAGCAGTGTGCACACACTGGGAGAAGGAAATCGATCCAGTGACTCCCAGCAGTCCACCTTCCATGAGGGGAGGGTTTAAACTGAAGACAGGGGTGTGAGTTAAGCAGAGCCGGTCAAGATGTGGATCTGTCACAGTCCCTGTCTCTTAGGCAAGGTGGTCTGGGGTTGTCAGAGCTGTGTGGAATTGTCTGGCTGGCACCAAGCTTAAGCCTTTTCTGTCTCCCAGGCTCAGCACGAGACAGGGTTTCTCTGTGATTTTGGAGGCTGTCCTGGAACTCGCTTGGTAGACCAGGCTGGTCTCGAACTCACAGAGATCCTCCTGCCTCTGACTCCGCAGTGCTGGGATTAAAGGCGTGCGCCACCAACGCCAGGCCCGATTATTTTTTTTAACCTTTTGCATATTTTCTTTTCAGAGCATGCCACATGGTCTGAATTGTTGCAGAGGACAGCTAAGCCTGCTGGTGGCCTTATTTCCCCAAACCTTAATTCCTATGTGGGCTGCCCACACGTGTGGCACTCTCTGCCTGCGCATCTCTGGGCTGTACCCGCCTCAGAGCTGCCCGGGCATGCGATACCCGGGAGAATGAAGCCACCCATTCAGGCTTCCCAGCGAGTACCTGGTTTCACTTGTGTTTTTCAGAGGCTTGGTTGGGCAAAGCCTCGTGCACTTAATGCAGCTCCAATAACGCATGCATAATGATTCTGGGAGCGTGAGATAGGCGCTGGGGGGACACACCCTATACGCAGGGCGGCTTGCTAGGGAGCATCCACTAGGGGGCAGCAAGGGGCAGAGGCCCGCGGATTGTCTCAGGATCTGGCTGCAGGAATCTGGTGTTTTCTGGCACAGGGGTAAGGATGGTGGAGGGGTGGAGGGAGAAGACTTCAAGCCGAGTATGTGACTGCTGATGCTTCTGCTGTAGAGGGTTTGTTCAGAATCCTGTCTTCTTGGGGTCTTGAGATAGTTTTTTGGTTTTTCGAGACAGGGTTTCTCTGTATTGTTTTGGAGGTTGTCCTGGAACTGGCTCTGTAGACCAGGCTGGCCTCCAACTCACAGAGATCCGCCTGCCTCTGCCTCCCGAGTGCTGGGATTAAAGGTGTGTGCCACCATCACCTGGCTTTGAGATAGTTTTTTACATTAAAGTGTGTGTGTGTGTGTGTGTGTGTGTGTGTGCGCGCGCGCGCGCGCGCGTGTCCTCAGAGTCCAGGGGATGCTGGAGTTACAGGTGGAAGGGTTATGAGCTGCCCAACATGGATGCCGGAAACTGTTCTTAACGACTGAGCCATCCCTCCAGCCCTACTTCTTGTGTTTTGAATGGATTTTTTTTTTTTTTTTGGTTTTTCGAGACAGGGTTTCTCTATGGCTTTGGAGGCTGTCCTGGAACTCGCTCTGTAGACCAGGCTGGCCTCGAGCTCACAGAGATCCACCTGCCTCTGCCTCCCGAGTGCTGGGATTAAAGGCGTGCGCTACCAACGCCCGGCTTGAATGGATATTTTATCCATGCATAATTTAGGTAGCATCCCTCATCCAGTATCTAGAAAACACGAGCGCATAAAATTTGATGAGCGCATAAAACGTAGTGTTGCCCCCCTCAAAAAAAAGCTGGGCTGTGGTGGCGCACGCCTTTAATTCCAGCACTCAGGAGGCAGAGGCAGGCGGATCTCTGTGAGTTAGAGGCCGGGCTGGACCGACAGCCTCCAAAACAATACAGAGAAACCCTGTCTCATAAAAACCAAAAAAAAAAAAAAAAAAAAAGTAGTTATAAATAGTTAGCAGGTGATGGCGCATGCCTTTAATCCCAGCACTTGGGAGGCAGAGAGGCAGGTGGATCTCTGTGAGTTTAGGGTCAGTGTTACACAGAGAAACTCTGTCTGAAAAACTAAAATAAATAAATACTTAGAAATACACGATCTAAATCTGGTCACAGTGACTCACCCCTGTAATCCCAGCAGTTGGGAGGCTGAGGCAGGAGGATCACTGTGAGTTCAAGGCCAGCCAGGACTACATATTGAGTTCTGGGCCAGCTTGCGCTACAAGTCCAGACCCTGACTCAAAAGCAAAACAAAAAGTCGGGCCGTGGTGGTGCACGCCTTTAGAGGCAGAGGCAGGAGGATCTCTGTGAGTCCAAGGCCAGTCTGGTCTATGGATCAAGAGTTCCAGGACAGGCTCCAAAGCTACACTGAGAAACTCTGTCTCAAAACAAAACAAAATAAAGAAAAAAAGGTTACATTTTTATTTGTGTGTGTGTGCCCACACGTATGTGTGTGTGAGTATGTGTGTGCATGAGTGTGTGTGTGTGAGTGTGTGTGTGCATGAGTGTGTGCTCCAGTACAGATGCCAGGAGAGGACAGAAGAGTTTGTTAGACACCTAGGAGCCGGAGTGATAGGTATTTGAGAGCTGCCAGATCTGGGTTCTGGGATCTGAGCTCTGGTCCTCGTGATGAGCATGGTGTGTGCTTGACTGACCTCTGAGCCATCTCTCTGTATCTCCTCTTGTTTATTCATTTATCTTTACTGAGACTGCACTCTGTAACGAGAGCTTCTTTGTCCCAGCTGGTCCTGCCGCCCTTTAGCCCCAAATGAACGGATGCTATATTAGGTATAAAATTGTCGGTCACTGACTAGGGCTTCCTATTGGCTAGCACTGTCTTAATTATTAACCAATTTCTACTAATCTAAATATTTCCATGTGGTCTTATCTTACCGGAGACGGGTCCAGACCTGTTACTCCTTTGGTAGCCTACATGGCGACTGACTGGTGGGCCCTCTCTGCTTGCCTTTCCCAGAATTCTCCTCATCCTAGTCCTGCCTATTTTCCTGCCTAATTGGCCAGACA